CACGTTGGGACGTTAGGGTGGCTCAGCAGTTGAGCGTCTGCCTTCCACCCAGCATGTGATCCCAAGGTCCTGGGGTTGAGTCCCCCATCAGGCTCCCTGCGTGGAGCCTGCTTCTCCCTCTGCCTGTGTCTCTGCCTCTCTCCATGTCCCTCATGAATAAATAAATAAAATCTTTAAAAATGCAAAAAAAAGATTCATCCACATTGTAGTAGGAATCAGAATCCCCTTCCTTTTTTTTTTTTTTTAAGATTTTATTTATTTGAGAGAGAGAGAACACACAAGTGAGAACCCAGGTGGGGAGAGCAGCAGAGGAAGAGGGGGGAGCAGATGCCCCCTGAGCAGGGAGCCCGACATGGGACTTGACCCTCGGACCCTGAGATCATGACATGAACCGAAGGCAGATGGATGCTTAACCGACAGAGCCACCCAGGTGCCCCAGAATCCCCTTCTTTTTTTAGGGCTGGATAATATCCCACCGGGTGTGTTTAGCATACTTGGTTTACCTGGGTGTCCTTCGATGGACATGTGGGTCATTTGCACCTTTAGGCTATTGTGAATCACACTTCTGTACATATGGCCATACAGGAATGTGCCGTGGCCCCGCTTTCACCCCTCTGGGGGTGTATCTCCAGCAGAGGACTTGCTGGCTCACATGGCAATGGTATGTTTGATTTTTCTGGAACTGCTCTCCCATTTTGCACAGCAGCTGCTCCGTGGTCCATGCCCACTAACGATGTGCAAGGGTTCCACTTTCTCCCCACCCTTCCTGACACGTGTTTTCTATTTTTTCTGATTAAACGAGTCAAAAAATATATATATATATATATATAGGCATCCCCCTGGGTGTGGTGTGGCATGTGACTGCGGGCGGCCCCCCACGGGCTGTCTTGGGTCAGCCTCGCTCCTGCAGCCGGCAGTGCCTTCCTGCAGGCTCCGCATTCCTCCCGTCAGTGGGAGGAAGGAGGCTCTGGATCCCACGTCTGAAGTGGGGGTGGCTGTGCTCACCCCTGTCGTGGGTGCCGTGCGGGCTTGCAGGGTGTCGTCTGGGCCCGAGGGCAGCTGTGGGAGGAGGGTGATTGGGCGCCGGGCCTGCCCAGGCACGGGGTCCACTCAGAGCATCTGACACCTGCTGGCTCGGGTGTTAGGAGGTGGCTGCTCCTAATGGGGCTTCTTACATGAGTTTTGGTTGTTTTCACTGGATCAGAAGGAAAAAAAGAGAAAACAACCCATGAGTTCTGGCTGAGGGTTTCCGTGGCAGATTCACGGGCCGGAGTCTGAATCCATTCCTGATTCTGCGAATCCAATCCTTTTAGGATCTCGCAGCACAGTGTGGGGTGAGCGGCTGGGACCGGCCGGGTCCCTGTGATGGGCCGGCGGGGGGCGCCTGTCCTGGCCAACCAGAGCCAGGGCTGCACCGGCTCCTCCAGGGCTCACCGAGAGGAGATGTTGGGGAGCCCTCAGCGGGGACCCGACGCCGCTATTCGCAGTGGCTTGGCTCCTCGCACCACCGGCGCTCTCGATCCCCGCGGGGACTCCACGCGGTAGGGGCTGCTGTTCTCTGCATTTTGCTTAGGAGGAGACGCAGGCCCAGGGTGATGAAGTGACATGTGCGGTGTCACGCAGCGGGGACATGGAGCCGGGATCTGAATCCAGGCGGCCCGGCTCCAGACTCAGGCGTCGGGAGCTCAGAAGAAAGGACCGAAGTCACAGGTCTGATTGCCTCGGACCCCGCGCGTGCAGCATGCTTCATAGTTTATAGTGTTCTGGCGTTTCATTTACGCTCCGTGACAGCTCCGTGAGGCGGGCATCCGTGTCATTCCCGGCTTGACAGAGCTGGAGCCTAAGGCCCAGAGGGGACTCAGAGGGACTTGCCCGGGGAAGCTGGATGGGGCGATGCTGGCCCAGGCGGCAAAGGGACGCAGGCCCAGGTGGGAAAGGGACGCAGGCCCAGGTGGGAAAGGGACGCGGCAGGCACCGCGGGGGAAGCAGGATGGCGCGTCCTCAAAGCTTAGACCCTCCCTTGGGTCAGGCACCCCACCTTCTGGGTATCCCCCAAGGGGCAGGAGAGCTCGGAGAGGCCTGCACTCGTGGGTTCACAGCGGCCGAGGTACGGAAACAAGCCCGCTGTCAGCGGACGAGTGGCTGGAGAGCACACGTGCGTGCACACACACGCCCGCATGCATGCACGGTGAAATATTGTTAGGCCGCAGGAAGGAAAGAGACCTTGCCACCTGCCCCGACCTGGCGGGCGATGTGCCGCGTGAGCTTATGAGCCAGAGGAAGGCCAATGCGGTGTGACACCCCACCCAGATGGTGGGGTCCAGGCACTGGCTGGGGGGGTGGCGCGGGGTGGGGGGGGGACACGCTGGCTGAGGTGCACGGACCCGCTGGGAAGCGGGGGCTCCGGAGTGACGGCGGTCGTGCTGACTGACTGCAGGGCCCGGCAGAGATGTCGAGGTGCTTGGAGCCTTGATCTAAACGTTCTGGCCCCAGGGACGTGCCGGAGGTGTTGGCTAAGGCTCTGGGGCCGTCGTCACGATACATAAATGGGTCAAATGAACACGCTCAATACCTTAAACTCACACAATGTCATGTACCGACTATGCCTCGGAAACAAACCCTGTAAGGAGAGCGGGGACGGCAGTAGAGCGGTTAGGACGCTTCCTGAGGGCTGGGGCGGGGAGGGGGTGCCCTTCACCCTGTGTGCGAGGCTCCCGAGGACGAGCATGGCCGGATCGGGGCTGGCCTTCAGGAGGCTGGGTTGAGTGTCTGTGGGTCGGGAGGCTTGGGGCCCGAGCCCCCAAAGCCCGTCTTCCCAGTTTGCCTATGACTTCCTTCTGCAACCTGTCACAAGGGGGGGGGGGCGGTCGCTGTCCTTCAGTAAGCTCTCAGGGGTTGCTGGCTGTCGTGGGGCCCCAGCTTCTGTGTTTAGTGTGCTGGCTGGTGACCCAGGGGGGATCCCGGCCTCGTCTGCCTCTCCTATGGCGACGTGAGGCAGGCCTTGCCCTGTTCTCAGATCCACAACTTGCCGATGAACCACCTGGGCCCCGGATACCTAGGTTCCTCCCTGGGATGGCTTCTGTCTCTGGAGAACTCCTACTTACCTTTCCAGATGCTTCCTCTCCTGTGATGGCTGTTGGCTCCCTCACCAAAGATGAGAGCTGCGGCGCCCTAAACCCTGACAATACTTTATCTGTCCCACATTCCATGGTGTTAGAGACATTTGTCTTCTTTTCCCAGGTAGCCTCGGAGGACCTTGAAGGGAAGGTCTTTGTCACATCTGCACCCAGATCAGGGTTAAATACCTATAATCGGGCCCGGTCATCCAAGAACGGGTACTGCCTGGTGACTGACTCATATGTACGTAGGGATATAGCAATCACCAGAGCAGATGACGGCCCCCACCGGCCCTGGGATGGGGTGCAGGGGGGTGTTGCTCAGCCTACTGGATCCTCTGCACGTGACCTCCATTCCATAAACCTTTCTGAGCTTTATGACTTCACACTGCCTGCCTCGGAGCTGGGGAGATGTTCTATCATGTTTCAAGAAAAGGGCTTTGACAACGTGAGAGGGAGAAGTGCTTTCTTTTAGGACCAGGCTGTTTACCTTGTACCCTCCAGACACCAACAGAGCACAGTCCTCCGGTGTGGGTAGGTGGTAGGTGTTTGCTACGCACGAGTGGAACGGAGGTGCAGGAGGACTAGACCGTGGGTAAGAGTTTGCTCCCGGAGGGGAAGGCGACCCGCCTGGGCGCCGCACGCAATCAGCAGTCGTGCACAATTAGAACACGCCCTGCTCCGAGAGTTCTCTACAAAAAGAATCCGATGTTAGAAGCAGATAGGGGCCTGCACAGGACGCAATCAGACTACGAAAGAACTGCTTTTGATTCCAGACCTGGCCTCCAGCAGGCTGCGTTCCCTCTCTTGGTGTTTCCCCAGTTCTCGGACGCCCTTTTGAGTTTCAGAAGCAGCAACCACACAGATGTCTTTCCGAGGCCACTTGGCTGAGACAGGGCCCTGCCTTGGGCGGGATGGAAAAAGCTGGAAGGCCAGAGAGAGGGGCATCTGGAGTTTGTGATCTGGGAGTGAGGAGCTGCCAAAGGATCCTCTCTCTCCAACGCACTCAGGCATCAGCTGTCAAGGCCACCGCAGCCCAGAGAAAGGGCGCGGGACCCAGGACACCACTGTTTTCCAACAGCGCGCCTGGTGATGGCAGGAAGGATGGCTGCTGGGCAAGTTACCGTCCTTCCTTGGGCCTCAGATTCCACATGAGCCACATGAGGAGGTCGGACTGGCCGGTCTTAAATGCCCTTTTGGCTTTTTGCAGGAAGGAGCAGGGGCTCTGGTGTCAGGCACACCTGGTTTTCAAATGAAGGAGGCTTGAGAGGTGGAGAGGCAGGTTGCAGGGGGTAGTGGGAGCCGCTTGGGTTCTAGAGCCAGCCTCTCTCGGGTTCCCACCCTGGCTCTGCCCCTCGTTGGCTGTTTATTTTGGGGCAAGTTATGTCCCCTTCTGGAGGCCAGGTTTCTGACGTAGAAACAGTGATGGGCCCTCTGCCCTCGGTGGTTGGGGGAAGCATCTGTAATGAGATATCGCAGGGGAAGCATGGAAGGAGGGCTTGGCGGGGACAGAGCCTCCACCCAGTGAGGGGGCTGGCAGTGGAGTCTGGAGAGGCCGATCCCCTCGCCAGGTGCCGCTGAGGCTGGCGGGCGGGCACATGGTTTGAGAAGCCGCTCCACGCAGGGTACTCCCAGGAGGACATACATACAGGGGTGCACATTTCCATCCGAAGGTTGCGTGCTCCTCCTGGAACAGGGAGATGAGCCCACACTGTCGGGACTGTCTCCACATGGAGGAATGGCCCTCCATTCCACCCGTGGGGGCGGATCCAGCCGAATTGTGGGGTTCTGGGTGAGTGCCGGGGCTGCGGGCCCAGTCCCGACCTGCTGGGCACCCGGCCTGGGCTTCCAGTCTGGGTGAGCATGCCCTGCACCCCTTCACAGTGCGCAGGTCCAAGGCTGCGGACGAGGAGAGGAGCCGCGGAGCTCAGCGTGCCAGGGACGAGTACCGGCGCCACTCGCTGCGTGCCATCCAGAAGGGCACGGTCGCCGGCCTCAGCTCCATGTTCCAAGAGCTCGGCCAGAGCCAAGAGCAGGAGGCCAGACTCTACCACCACCTCCCAGGCCCGGGGCCGCCACCCCCGCTCGCCATACCTGTCAGGTGGGTCTGGGGCTCTGCAGGTGCAGTGCGGCCGGGGGCTCCATCCAGCTCTGCTCCAGCTGCTGTGACATTGGGAACTGGTCATCCCCTCACCGCCCCGTGGGCCTCTGTTCAAGTCCTCATAATGGGGCTGGAGCGGGTGGTGAGGAGTCTGGTCTCAGATGTTGATTAGCCCCGGAGTTCTGGGAGTCTGGAAATCCAGGGTCCAGGGTTCCTTTGAGCACTTAAAGAACGCTGTGTACCCTCCAAGATGTGCACATGAAAATGCCCCAAAATATTTGCATGTAATTCCAAGCTCTAATAGATCACAGACTCCAGGCTAAGAACTCGTTTTTTTTTTTTAATTTTTAAAAGATTTTATGTGTTTATTCATGAGACACAGAGAGAGAGAGGCAGAGACACAGGCAGAGGGAGAAGCAGGCTCCCTGCAGGGAGCCCAATGTGGGACTCGATTCTGGGACCCGGGGATCGCGCCCTGGGCAGAAGGCGGACGCTCAACCACTGAGCCCCCGGGCATCCCTAAGAACTTGTACTGTAAGACCCCAAGTGGGTTAAAAGTGGCCCAACCACTTGGGAAGCAGGGCTGGCTGCTCGTCCCGAGCGCAGCCGGCGCTGGTGCATCCCCCGATCTGCTAGCAGGTTGGTAGATGAGCATGGCTGGTGCAGGGCCTCATGCACCGGCGTCTCCCGAGTGGCTTGGGCCAGGGCACTGAGGCGACTGCCCGTGAGGCCGCCTGGAGCTCCCCCCCCCACCCTCCACCGGCGCCCAGCTGGTCCCCTGCATGTCGGGCACTGCCAGGCGACTGCGGCCCCGTGAGGCTGGGCGGTGGGTGCCTGCAGCCTCCCGAACCACCATGAACCTGCAGAAGAGGCCTGTCCCTTCTGAGTTTTGCCCTAATTGGGACTGAGGATCATTCGTAGGCCCCTTCGCCCTCCCCCCGCGGTCTAGGGAGGGCTGGCCGTACCTGCATTTCCTCCTTCCCTCCCTTCCTTCCTTTTCATTTATATGATTCACAAACCAGGAAATTTAAAAAGACGTATGGGAAATAACTGCCTCGCATTCCTGTCTCCATCTCCTTGGCTCTTCCTTGCCCCGCAGGGGGGCACCGTCCTCAGTGTGCGTGCGTCCGTCCAGTTCCTTTGAGGAGTTGGTGACGTGAAAAGTCATATCCCCGGCTTTTTATTTATGTATTTTTGTACCAAATGTTGCTCACTATACACATGGCTCTGTGTCTTGGCTTTTATTTCCATTGAACTATATTTTGGAGGTCTTTTCATATCAGTTTTTAGCTATTTATTTATTTTTATTTAGTTTTCTTTTTTATCTTATTATTTTTAAAGATTTTTTAAAATTTATTCATCATAGACATAGAGAGAGAGAGAGAGAGAGAGAGAGAGAGAGAGAGAGAGGCAGAGACACAGGCAGAGGGAGAAGCAGGCTCCATGCAGGGAGCCCGACGTGGGACTCGATCCCGGGTCTCCAGGACCATGACCTGAGCCAAAGGTAGACTATCAAGCACGGAGCCACCCAGGCGTCCCAAAAGATTTTCTTTTTTAAGTAATCTCTACACCCGATGCAGTGCTTGAACTCAGCATTCCCAGACCAAGCATCCTGTGCTCCACTGACTGAGCCTGCCAGGCACCCTGGTCCAGTTTTCCTTTTTTATAGCTGCATCGTATTCTACTCCACAGATGAGCTAGAAATGATTTATCAGAAACTCTGTTAATGTTTTAACATTAAGTTGTTTGAAATCTTTGGTTATTACCAAGGGTGCCCTTAGTGAATAACCTTGGGGACATTTATTCTACACACGGGCCCCCCGGGAGGGAGGCTGGGGAGTGGCCTCTCCAGGTGGGTCTGCTACTCCGGGTACGTGAGGTTCTTCCTTCATGGATGCTGATGCTTGTGCCCTGCAGTTCTAGAGGGGGAAAAATGCCTTTTCTTTCCCTCAGACATCCCTCCCGTCCTCTTCTCCATGCCTACCTGTGTGACTTTTTTCAAAGCAAGTGATAACAATGCTCTTTTGGGAAAAATAAGAATATTTGGTGTATTATCATCTGCAAAGTGGCTTCATGCACCTGGACTCCATTCTTGCCACAGGCACGAGTGTGGGCATTACTCATTCTCATAGTGGCCTTCCCTCCCTTCTCCTCCTCTGTCCTTTGCCCTCCCCTCCCTTCCCCTCCTGAGTCTCCACACTTCCTCTCCCTTCTCAGCAGGACTTGGGAGCGCCCTCTGAGACCCGTGTCCAGGGAAGTCATTGTCCGCTGGTTTAAGGAGGAGCAGCTGCCTCGCCGAGCTGGCTTTGAGAGGAACACCAAATCCATCGCCCCCTGGTTCCATGGTAGGATGGCTTACCGGGCCCCTGGAGCAGACAGTTTCCACGTCTGCCTCTCTCTGAGGTCGGGAGGAGGTCCTGAAGGGCTGCTGGCATCAGGGGGAGTCAAGGACTTTGGACCTTGGTATTTCCGCGCCACCCCCACATAGACCGGCCAGTCTCCCAGCTCTAGGGATTGGCTCTCCTGGGTTGCCTGGGTGGAGAGGGGTCCCACGGCTGTCCTCTGTTTGCTCGTTAAATGTGCTGAGTTCAAGGCACAGGTTTTGATTCCTCCAGGGCATGAGCTGAACTACTGAGTGGCCTTCATCAAGGCCTTAGGGACCCAGGCAAACATCTCTGAGCAGGAGTCCAGGGGACTGGAGGCACCGGGGATCCCAAATGTGCGTTCCCCGCTCTCTGCTGGGGAGGGAGGACCACGCTCTTGCCCACTGCTTTCACTCACAGCCTCCTGGCCGTCAGGGGCTCCTCAGAGGTCTTCTCTATACTCACAAGACAGTGAGCTCTCTGTGTACCATGAGCTTCTGCTGGGCAGGGCCCACGTCTTGTTGTCTGAGCTCGCATCCCTGATCCTGACCGTGGGCTGGCACACAGCAGGCTCCGAACAAACACTTGTTGATCAGAGGACCGAATGGCTGAATGAAGAGGTCAGAGCCACTCAAGCATAGAGCACGAGAGCTGGAAGGCTTCCTGGAACTATCTAACTCTCCGTTTCACAGACAAGGACACAGGTCCAGATAGGGGAGGAGGTTTTCCTAACATCACCAATAGACTTGTGAGGTCAAGTTCAAGAACATACCTCAAGCTCCTGACCCCAGTCCAGTGATCTGAACCTGCAGCGGCCTCAAACAGGGAAACAGGATTGTGATTTCAGCAGAGACTTGCTACGGGGAAATGGAAGTCGCTACCGGCCACCAGACTCGTCTGGATCAGTTAGCTATTGCTACGTAACAAATCACCCCAAAACTCAGGAGCTGAAAACAAATAAGCATGTATTGTTTATTTGTAAGTTTTTGAATCAACCAGGCAGTTCTTCGGGAATGGGCCAGGCTCAGGTGATCTGAGCTGAGCTTGCTCGTGTGTCCCCAGACGGCGGGCTGGTCCCCTGGGTGCTGGCTTGCCCGAGACATCTCCTCTCTGCTCCCCAGGGGCTCGTATCCCCCAGCAGCCTGGCCACACTGCCAGGCTTCTCTGGGTCAGCTGCCTGCGGCCTTGCTCCCTGAGTCGTCCCTCCCTTATCAGCGCTGAGCCCAGGTTTGCCTGTGGACTCCCCGGGGTAGAATTGATCTCTTCTGCCACAGTTCGTATCCATCAGACCCCTGAGTGCCTTCACGTCTCTTCTTCCGGCCTCCTGGGAGCTTCGCCAGCCCGCACCCTGGCCTTGGTCTTGTCTCCCCTTGCAACGTCAATTCCCCACCTGCTTCCTGGCCAGCTTCCAGGTGTTTCCAGTTCCCTCCAGATGGAGAGCTGACCTCAGTGTCGTGATGGGCACTAATGACTGCACACTCTTCAGGGCTCATGGGGAGGCCCTCATGGGCAAGCTGTGGGCGTGGCTCCAGCTCCAGGGAAGACAGCAGGAGTGCAGGGGTGAGCAAGGCCGTGTGCACCTCCATCTGCAGCTTCAGGAGCCCAAAAAGCTCCTGAACCATGAACCATGGTCCTGAAGCTCCTGAACCAGGTCCTGAAGCTCCTGAACCATGAAGTGTAGGTGGTAGCCACCCTACAGCTGGGGTGGCTGAGATGTAGCATTGTTCGGGGACTGCCCAAGGTCATGGAGGTCACAGAGACACCACCTGGTTGTGCAAGGGTGTCTTCACCAGTCTGCCTGTTTCCTCGGGCCCCTCTACAATTTATTCTTCGCACAGCATCCTGAGAATATATTTTAAAGATAAATCAGATCCTGTTACTTTCCTGCTTAATATGTACTGCTTCCTTCTGTTTATATTTGCAAGGAATCTCAAACTCCAGGCTTCCTGCTCCGGCCTCCTAGCACAATTTTCCCCTTGTCCACGTTGCTTCCACAGCTCTGGCTTTTTTTTTTTTTCTGTCTCAAACAAGCCATTTTCTTTTCTACCCCAGGCCCTTTGCACTTATTTCTGAGCTGCTTGGCATTGCTGTTTTCCTAGCTTTTTGCTTGGATGCTGCATTCTTATTTCTCATCTCAAATATCCCCTTCTGGGAGAGATCTTTCCTGAATCCTTATCTAAAGCAGCCTTTAACAGTTGCTTTCACCCATTATGCGTCCCTCTTTAAGAGTGCTTACCCAGTCGATATTCACCTTATTATTTGCTGTCATCTGCTCTACCTGTGTGTAAGCCTGCGAAACTAAGGACCTTGTTCATTTTTGCCCCGCGTGCTTACCATAGTTAAGTGTCTGCAGGAAGAATGAATGAAGGTGGGAATGAAGTATCAGATGAGATCCCAGTCTTCCCAGTCCTAAAGGGCAGCCATTGCTTCTCTGCCCTGGGCCCTGGTCAGTGTGTGGGTCTCCTCAGGGCCTGACGAGTGAGGTTAAGCTGGAGCTATCCGCTTGCAACCCCCTTCCTTCAGGCCTCCACATATCCTACAGGATGGAGAGGCTCTTTAGTGCCCAGAAAGAAGAGAGTCACCATTCACCGGGTGGCTGAGCCACACATCCCCCAGCCAGTCCCGGGGGGGTCCCTGCTTCTTGCCTCTGTCCCTGCAGGTATGTGTCCCTGCAGCCCCGAGAGAACGGCCTCTGAATTGCTGCTTTCCTTTTCCTCGGTCCATTGGAATCCTGGAAGCTCGAGGGCAGCCTCTTAGTGCAGCTCCGTTGTTCTGCGGGGGAGGCTTGGGCCAGGAGCCCGGGGAGCCTGCAGCGTGTGTGGCAGCCTGCAGGGAAGGCATCGCAGAGCTCCTCAACTCCATCTCTACTGTTCCCTTCTACCTGGATGGAAAAAAAAATGTGATTTTTATTTTATTTTTATAAAGATATCTTCAGTTGTCTTTTTTTTTTAGAAGATTTTATTTATTTATTCCTGAGAGACCCAGAGAGAGAGGCAGAGACACAGGCAGAGGGAGAAGCAGCTCCCTGTGGGGAGCCCGATTTGAGACTCGATACCAGGACCCAGGATGGTGACCAAAGGCAGATGCTCAGCTGCTGAGCCATCCAGGACTCCTGGTTTCCAAATTCTTGAGAGTAACTTTGCTCATCCCAAAAATCCCAAAGTCTGGAACTCCTGATGTGCTCCAACTTCTTCCCCAGGGGAGGCATTCCTTGACTGCATCCTTGAGGGCCCCCCCGGCGCCCCACCAGTCCTTCCTGGGATGGGGCTGCTGCCCATCCTGCCCACGGGCAGCCCGCACGCTTTTAACTGTTAGGGGGTCTTTGCCTCCTAGGGGGTTGGCTGGGGGCTCTGCTCTCAACTGGTCTCAGCCGGATGTCTTAGCAGGGGCACCTCTGCTCCCTGAATCTCCCATGCTCCTCCCAGGGGCCAGAGGACAAGTGGCCTTCTCGGCTTGTGAACCTCCTCTTTGAAGCAGGACCCCATTGCTTTCGCCTCATGACATTGGCCACAATATGTCACAGAGTTTGGGGTGGGAAAGTGTATCCTGCTTCTCTCCTGTAAGGACCGGCCACGCTGTGTGTCCAAGGGTGTGAAGACAGGGAGTGGAGGAGAGTTTGAGCTGATAATGTAATCTGTTACAACCCCACTATAAATCCATTTTTTCCTGGGTAGAATGTTCCTAGTTAACTCAGCTGGGTTTTAAATATTCAAAAAAATATTTATTTGAGAGAGAGAGAGAGAGAGAGAGAGAGAGAGCATAAGCATGAGAGCGTGGAGGAGAGGAGGGCGTGGGAGGGAGAGAATCTCAAACAGACTCTAAGTGGAGAATGGATGATCCCACGACCCCAAGATCATGGCCTGAGCCGAAATCAAGAGCTGGACACTCAACCGACTGAGCCCCCCGGGCGCCCCAGTTCAGCTGGATTTTCAGTGCAGGTTAAAAGCAACCACTCTGACTCCTATTTCCTTCCCTCAAACGCAGTGGGGTGTGTCGACACTCCAAAGAGCAGTGCGGACAAGGCGTCTGAAGACACGGGCCCACTCTAGAACCTAGCAGCTCTGTGACCTTGGGTGTGTCCTTTCAATCCCCATCTCTGAAATTGGGATTTTAACCCTGACTTTGCGGGACTCATGAAGATCAAGCCAACAGATGTGTTTTGTCCCCCGTGATGAGCCATGGCGGGGTGGGCGCTGATGTCTGTCCCCCCCAGATGCCCCGCCCACGCTGGGAACCAGAGCACAGGGGTGCGGGGAGGCCGGGAGAGGGGCAGGAGAACGGGCTTCCTGCTGGGACCAAGGCCCTCGCAGTCATCTCCTCTGTTAAAAAGAGAAAGTGGTAAAGTTATCCCTCCTTCCTCCTTTGATCGTTGTTAAATGTTCCAGGGGTTGTAAGAGAGACTTCTAGTTCTCCAAAAATACTCCTGAGGAAACCTGGTGCATGTGATCTTGGCTTTGGGGGGAAAAATCTATTTTTGGACTTCAGCATGGATCTAAAATTATTAAGAACATCCTCTGTCTGAGCACTGTCTCGGGGAGACCCGTTTCTCCTCCGGTTTTCTCTCCTCGGAGAGCGGTCACAGTGTGACCCGTGATTATTGTCTTGGCGACAACCCCCTGGCTATCTCGCAGCTTGCCCTCGGGCTTGGGGGACGGTGCTGGGCAGTGGCTGACATGGTTGGTGTTGGTAAACCCTGCTCGGGCCCTGGGCGTGGGTTTTGAGCCCGGCGTTCAGGTGGAGTGTTCTGGTCATGCCTTTCCAGGCAAAGCACAAAGTGGGGGCTCCATTGGGGAGGAGGGACCCCCCCACATAGACCGTGCGGCCTGTAGGGAGCCCCGCGGTCAGGGGTGGCCTCGCACACAAAGCCTGAGCTCCCAAGTGCAAGGGGGCGCTGCGTGCTACCTTTCCGCACTGTGGCTGCTGGGCATATTGAGAGGCCAGGAACGTGGAAGGTCCTAGAGCTGCGGGCTTCTGGAATGGCC